TTCTAAATATGCCATATATATTGCATTCTTCCTTTCTACATTTATGAGAATATTTCTCTTTTAATGTTTATTGTTCAGAAAAAAGGAAGCCCTGGGTATCTTCCTCGTACTTCTCCTTATATGTTTGCAGATAATCAATAATTATAGCCAGAAAGCTTTCTTTAAAAGTCTGACTTACCTGAAAATATCATTTAAGACCACTGAAACTGCCCCCTAAACATTCTATTTCTAAACCAGCGTCCTTAACTTATGTTTTCAAGTATAAATATCCATAGGGGTATTCTTGCTCCCCATACTTTCTAAAAAAGTGCCTAAGGGCTAAAATAACTATTTCTTCTAACCTTTGTGATTCTAATTCAGTGTCTTACATAAACTGTGAGGATGGTTAGTGTTTAATAACAAGGAAGTCATACATCAGGAGAGAGACTCAAGCAAATTCAGATGTAGTAAGTTTTCAAATAACAGGATATGGTGTGGCCTTCAACTGTGAGTAGCCTAGACTCCAGGAGGTGAAGACAACTGTTAATAAATTTAGAATTCATAAATTGTAAATAGGTTAATAATTGCCTGGTGAGACACAGCATACCTACATGAATTTGGACTGTGAGGAATGAGATGTAACAGTACATCTTTAAAGAACAATTTTTCTGCTGTTGCTCATCTGGCAGTCATGTCTGACTGATGTGTTGCCCCATGTTCCAGGGAAGTAATAAAACTTCAGCTGACCCTATTTCAATAGAAAATGAGATGGATGGTATGAAAAATTTTCAGTTAAATACAAATTCTATCTTCTTGTCAGAATGTCAGTTCAGATTAGATGCCTACTGAGCCCCTATTATTTTATTCTTAGATCATACAAATAGAAATTTGTACATACTGTTTATATCTCAGTCCTTGAGCATACATCATTCAGACTGATTCTTACAAGCGTATGTCATTCAGATTTATTCCCACTGATCAACAATCACATTCCCCTTCCCTCCCCGCTTTTTAAATTTTCTAGTCCTATTTAGGTTTCAGATAACAAATGACAGGTATTATACCATCAAGCACATGCTCAGAAGAGATCCAGCTGTCTGGAGGCCTCTGAGTAAGGGCCATGGTGTGTCCCTGGTATGTGCTCTGCAACTTCAGTCTCACATTGTTGTTTCTTTCTACAAGACAGAAATATAATTTATATTTTATTGGTATGGGCAACTGTTCTCCAGTGCTTTCCTGGTGACTCACCCACTCTCAGTCATCTCTTTTTCTGTCACTTCTATTGTGTATGTATTTTTATCCTTTCCACAAAAATACTTATTTTAATGTACTGGCAACCCAGCATATTACTTGTAGGAAGTTGTTATTTCAAATAAGAACTAATTCTGACTTGAAAGTGGTGGTGGGTTACCTGTGTCATCTTCAACTTTTTGGAATAGTTTATAGAAATTTGAGATTGAATAATCTCTAATTGAAAAAAATTAAACTTGAATTATTTTGATTTCAGGACTAAATATTATTCAACTATAATGGAAGAGTATTTTTTTAGAAGGTTTTATTATGCAGATTAAAATATCTAGGACGTGTAGGATTACTATAGAGTTACTGCTCATTGAAGTTGGTGACATGAGACAACAGAACTGATGTTATTGAGAACAATGCTGAGGAGCTTTTAATCTTAGAAAAAAACAGAATCACATTGCTTGATGCTGGATACTTGAAGACAATTTTATATCATCTGCTAACATCTAACTTGAATTAATTTAGAGCTTAAAAATTTATACGCTCAGTACCTGCAAAATGGAGAACACATTGCAACAACAAGGACACTTTACATTGCTTTTCTGCAGCAATGAGAAGTTTGTCTCTTTTTGCTACATATGCACTTTTTAATAAAGGCTTATTGTTTTCGCTTAATCAGTAGATAGAATTCCAGACTTTTTAAAGTATTAACAATTCTTTTTTGACTCTAACTTATATAAGTTCTGCTTGGCATACTGTTATCATATCTGCTTTATTAGGGAGAGATTCAGGAAGAATTTACTTCTCAGTAATTTACATTCCAACCATTTTCTCAGTAACCCCATCATTTTTATTTATTCTTCACCGATATTTATATTCTTGCAGTGTTATTTACAGAATGTTGAATAACATTCAGAAAATCAAATTGAATGTTAAAAGCAATTAAGAAAGGAATAGCATACAAAAGAGGGAACATCATTATGTCAGTAAGAATACTTTGTAAGCCCTCATCTTGAACGCCATGTGAAAATCTGATCCGTGTCACATCACTGAAGACTGAGGGGGTGAGGGGTGACAGGGATGGTCAAAACCTTAGAACAGCTGGGTGAGTAGATTAGAATTTCTTGTTCCCTAAAGGAGAGGACAGGGGAATTCTGATAGAGGTCTGTGAAATCACAAAGAGAAGATAAGTAAAGAGCAACCATTCATTGCCTTCTGAAGTAGAATAATTATGGATGTTGAACTTGGTGAGATAGCTAAAAACAAAATGGGTGCATGCAAATTGTAAAAAGTGACATGTGCTCTAAAAGCAACTTGAGAAGGTAATTTTACAAAGTTTGATTGGTGGAAATGCAAAGCAAAGTCAGCACCTTTTGATTAAGAAGTGTGGGACCCTCAAAGAGCTGTAGGAGGAGAAGTACTACTCCATGTATGTCCCTATCTTGTGCTGGTCTCACTGTTTTCCAGGCCAGCACTGTTGGTTGTCTTTGTACACAGAATATTGGGTGACGTAGTTATAAAGTATGATCCAGTGTCTATTCTTTGTTTCATGTATCAATTTTTAATGTTTTTTTGTTTGTTTGCTTGGGGTTTTTTTAAATGTAGCTGAATTCAGGAGCTGAGCAAGGTTTCACTTCACTGTTTGGTGACATTTTTAAGGCTGCAGTATTTCTTTGTGGGCTTCTCTAGGCAGATTCACTATTACTAGAGTTTTGGCATTCTGCCTTACTCTTATAGAAGTTTGCATGTGCAAGGATTAAATTGAAGTCTGCTGTTTTAGTCATTGCTTTGATAAACAATTTTTTTGCCTCTGTCTTTTTACAGCAGACTTAAATGGACAAGGTAGAAATTCCTTTTTTTCAAGATAGGAAGGATCCTCTTGTCCTGCAGTTGCACTTCAGCTGCTTCAATGCCTCCACACTACACAGTGCAGTCTAGAGAGAAATATTTTCTATATTTCATGTGATAAAAAAGCAGGAATATAATAGTTAATAGTGCTGTTCTTTATAAATTACAAGGCTTTAAAAGTCTTCTCTATTTTAAACCTAAGGTTTCAACGCATGCACATTTTTTCCGGTAATACAACTCTGTATTTGTAAACTTACCGATATCCATGTTTCATTTTTTGCAATTGTTATTTGTAGGATTTTAAAAAAATAGGTTTGGTTTGTTTGCTTGTTTGTTTTTCTTTTACAGGATGTTGTCTGTAGGAATAATTTTCTATTAACTTCATTTAAGGAATGAGAAGTTGTATTTGGAGCTGCAATAAGCCCACTTACAAACTTTTTCAATTCCTTGTTATATCTTTAGAGTCTGCTAGCTGAAACTAGTTACTATTAGTATCTATCAGTAAGACTGCTAATGCAGAGATCTCATACTCTGACTAGACATAAACAGGAATGGGTAAAAGAAGTAGAGACACGATCACATTCCTCCTTTAGGTATGTTTTTTGAACACTGACCAGTATTTTGAACAGTATTCTGTTTCTTTTATTTTGTATGGGTTTTTTTCCCTGTTACCTGTATCCAGTATTCAAGTTCTTTATTCAGTGGTGGCTTAACCTAGGATTTAAAATTTGGTTCTACTGAAGTCATCAAGTAGAATTTTGAAGTGGAGCTCCTGTTGTTACCATCTCAACCCTATCCTTTGAGAGGCCTTGAATTATTACCAGATTATGAACTTTCATAAAAATCAGGTCACAACACAATGAGCAGGAAAAACTGCAAAAAGTTCAGTAACGTAATGATCCATTAACAGTATAAATCATTTACCTAAAAAAGTGACTGTTATCTACAGCCATAGTTTACCTTAGGTAATATGAGTTCTTGTTGAAAAATTGTTATTCCACATCCTGTTCTAGTCATCACATTCTTCAATCATTTTCTGAGCACTGCTACGATAATATCTAACTGTCAAGGTGCTTTCTGGCCCTTTGCATTTTATTATATCATATTTGATTTATGTGTGGTGCTTGACTTTCCCAGGCATCCATATGTCCAATGTAAGTAAGATGTGGAAATATGTCTTTGCCCATGCAACTGCTTTCTGCTGGGATTAAAAAAAATAAATCACAAATCTAGAAACTGGTGAACCTGTACGGTATTTTCTTATTCATGTTCTGAAGCAGAGACAATCCGCTTGATTGGACAGTTTAGTGTACCAGAAAAACTTCTAATTCCTTTTTTCCCTCCCTCAACATTTGCTAATGATGGGAATTCACTATATGTATCACTGTTAAGGGACCTTGAACCGTTATTGCTGATCACTCAAAAATAGAGCAGTAATTCATCGTCATTCAAAACCTGGGATTCTGCCATCAAAATGTAGATCGCATATCTTTAGCTTTCTTATTTATAATATAAACATATTGTAAAGCCATCCCCAGAGAGAAAGTAATTGCAGTGGTTAATGCAACTGTCAGTTTCCTGAGCTATAATTAAAAAAAATTGAATAAGAGACATCCCCTGAATTAGAACCTAACAAAGCAAGTATGGCAATACCAGTTATGTCAGAGCTTTTGCTAAATACCAAGTTTAATGAATAAAGACATTTCTGTAACTAAATTTGAACTATATTACACAAAAATTTAAAGAAACAAGGAATGTTATCTTCTAGCATGCAAGTAATTATTCCAGTCTGTTAACATTTGGATTTCAGCTGAGTATAGTATTTAATGTGCTAAATTTTAAACCCTGCTATCCAGAGTTATTGAACCTGGTTCTTTTCTTGTGTCATGTGAGAAATATCTCTCTTACCTACTTAAATTTTTGCATTTCAGGAATCTTATTCAAAGAAGAGAGGTTATGCATTGGAAGCAATACCCTCTGTACCTCTGGATGCAGTTCCTTCAGAAAATGACAGCAGTCTTTGTGATTCGATAGACATAGCAGTGACCAAAAAACCTTGTTCCCTAGAGATAGCAAGAGTTCCTTCCTCAAGACCAGGTAAATCACCAAATAATGCTTTACATAGTCTTTGGTGTGTCATGTTATAGAAGGTATAGGTTTATATTTTTAAGAATATGGTACTCTTGTTTACTTGTCACAGCATGATTATAGTCTTCTGTTAGCTACCATAAGAGCTTAATATCAGAATAAAGATTAATAGAAAAATTCTGTAGAAGGGAGAACAAAGCAGAGATTTAAATAATTTCCTAGATAAATACAAGGCTGTAAAAAGCCAAGTTAGAAATATAAATTCTTAAAACGCAGCCTTTTGCAGTAGTCTGTTTACCAACCTGTTTCTGTTTTTTAATGAAGTGCTTAGCAGCAACGTTAGATAACTAATTCAGTACTTTGTATTTTCATGTTACTTAAAGGAAGACCTGTTCAGTTTTTGAAAATCAAACAGTGAATGAGAATAGATAGGAATATTGAATGACAGTTCAGCAGACTGCTGTTTGTATTACACAGGCTTGAAAAGCAATGAGTTACAATAGTTAAAAAACAGTAGAATTATGCTGAGTCAGATGAATGTTATTATCTGTAAGGGCGCTGTTTATGTTCTCTGAAATTATATGCTCTCTCCCATTACCCTTGTTTGAACTCTTCATTAGTCACCACCTGGTACAGGAATTTCAGAATATAATAACTTTGCTATATGTGATTGGACTGAGAGTCTGCTTGACAAATGATACTTCTCAGCAGCACAGACCTATTTGAAACGGGCAATTGACTTTTTGACCTGTACTATCTTGATTATGAATCATGATTTGTGAAATACACAGGAATGACAGATGATTGTTGACTAACCTCATGTTACCTATCTAGTCTGTGTAAGGGGAGGCACCTTCTTGATTTCACAGATGATCTAGTATTGGAAGAGTGCCAGAGCTATATCAGGCATAGTATATATAAGGGACAGGTACCAAGATATGGCTTTGAAGTCTGCAAGGTGAGGTGGAGTGAATCATAATTCCCACCTCTCTGTAAAATTTGGTCTAAAGAAGACTTGAGGGAACCTGCATTATGACCAATGATATAAGAGATGGCACAAAATAGGATAGCATCTTCATAGCATAGTTGCAGAGAGTGGACCAGAATCTGACTTGAACATCAGCACGACTACTTCTGTAACTGAAGATTTGTTGATGTTTTTTTGGCTTTCATAGTCTAAAAAATTAGCAGGCTGTGAATACAGTATCACAGGTTGTTGTTCAGTAAAGGAAGAAAATGCCAAGTTATCCTTGTTTTTCAGACTTCTACTTGATTAATCACCATAAACATACTTACTGCAATGGGAAGACTGCCATATCCCTACCCCGTAAATTGGCCAAAGGAGTTCATTAACTGCCTCCTTAGTAATGGAGCTCAACTACAAAGCTTTCCATTGTAATTAGTATTAAAAAAAATTATAGACTTTTTGCTAGTTAAAACACCAGGCTTTGGAATTGTGCTGGCTGCTGAACATAGGGATTTTACTTAGATATAGTAAGTCCATTAAGATCAGTATGAAGAACAGATCCTAAAAAGAATATTTTTAAGTCTTAATCTGGAAATATGTTTTGTGTACCATTAAATATGGTGCGTACCAGGGGCCTAGAGAATAACCCAGGGAGCTGTAGGACATTCATGAGGGCACCCATCATCTTTATAAGATCTAGCAAGGTCAATGAGTTAACAATACACATGTACTGCAATTCCTTCTGTCTTAGTTTTCCATATACCACTATGATCTTTTCCTTGGCATTTTATTGAGGAGAACATTTGGCTGTATAGATAAGCAGATTCCAAAATGTGATCTTATTCTAAGCTATAAAGGTAGCTGTTATCTAACTGGCCTGGCTTGTAAGCCATATCTGTGATCATGTTGGCTGTTATACTACAAATGGCCCAAATGAAATCAATCATGTCACTCACAGTTATAAGGTACTTAACACTACTCATAATTGTATGTGAATGTCAACCTGTCACTTCAGTTCATGCAGATTTATTGCTTGAATAAGTTATGTATGATTACAGAGATCATTCATTTAAAACAAATACTTAATTTGCATGTGTTTTTTTGTATCACTGAGACACGGTGCCTTTGGGAATACCGTTTCAGATCGCTGCACTATGTTGTGTAGAGTTCATTTTGGAGCGTGAGGCAGCACTTTGAACATAAAATTGCATCTGCCAGTCTCCTTTCCCTAGGTGGTAGGACACTCTGATCAACTCTCCCAATGTCTGGGGCATTATTACCTCTTGGCAGTAGAAGTGAGACTGACTGCACTCAGTGATTGAAAATTCTCCTTTCCTGTATTGAGAGAAAAGGTCATTCTGGCTGCCTTTCAAGCTGTAGAGCTGCATGTTGTAACTATTATCTGCCCTGCCAGTAAACTCCTAACAAGTTGTGAATAGTCACCTTGCCAGTCATCATTCTCTAATCTACTGGGGAAAAAAACTGACTGCTCTGTAGTTCTCCATATTATTTTTAATTTCCTGAATCTTATTATTTAACTGGTAGGGAAAAGCAGAGGATAAGAACTGCATGCACCAAATGGTAAAGGATTGTTAGATATAAGGGAGAAAAACTGAACAGAGAGGATATAAAAGTAGTCATAAAGTTTGTTACTTCCACTTCTGAAATCCTGTGTTCTGCGAGTTTTATGTCTGTTTGAAAGAAATTAGGTTTATATAGGAAGAACAGTTACCTTGTTGGTTTATGCTGACAGTTAAAACACTTGCTTCTAATTAGGAATGATCTAAGAGTAAAAAAGACTGCATGTGTGTCTGAGTTCAAGTTAAGTTGTTGTTTCTGCAGTAGATTGATAGGGCAAGGTTGGCAGAGTGTGTTAGCATCTGTGTGTTGGTATCTTCGTTTTTAAACTAAGTTAAGACTTGATAGAAATATTCTGAGATACCACACTTTGTGACAAATTTTTCTGCTAAATAAAATATAAATTTGGATTTAAAATTTCATAAATCAATCTCATCAAATTAATTTAACAAATGAATTTATTAATGACTCAGTCTAATCTTTCTGTTGGTCTATTCCAGAAATGTATCCTCGTTCTTTAAACTAGATATTTCTACTAGTAATTTTAATTTTTAGACTGCCCTTGATTAAAAAAAGAAATCACATGACATATTTAACCTTGAAAAATAACCATAAAATTTTCTTAGTTCATGCAGCACACATTAGTATTGCCCTTTTGGTCTTAAGGATGTAATTAAATTTTGTGAACTATAGCAACATATCATCTTGGAAAAGGTGTAAACTTTTAATAAATGGTCAAAGCTTAAGGCATTGAATTATTCTAATGCTTAAGTAGGCATCTTCATGAAGTTAGTGTGCTTTTGATCAGTTATCTAGAATACTGATAGCAGAAGTTTAGGTGCAACATCATGCTACATATGGGCCTGTGCTGTTGAAGACCCTTACGGACCTAAATTGCATCCTTGGTAGCTTTGACATTTTGTACCATACTCCATCCTTGCACCTCATAATGTCATATACTTTATTTAGAAGAACTATTGAATGAAATCTGAGCTATATTACAGAAGAAATGTTAATAAATATTTTTTTTTTTATTGGAGTTAAGTGTGTGTCCATACCGAACAGAGAGATCATATCTCTTTCTGCATCTATAGTTTCTACTGCAGAAACTCCCCAGGAAGGAGACCAGGTGGCAGTCCACATGCTAAATTTTTAATAATAGTGAATGATAGCCAGTACTAAAATATTTTTATATATAAACCAAAGTACTTAAAATATTTTTAGGTCTCACTGAGTATAATTATGAATTTCAAACACTGTTCCTCATTGACAACTTGGTGAAAAAAAAATCCCTCTTTGGGAAAGTTGATCTTTCCATGCGGATTAACAAAGGTTTTAATACACCATATCTATAAAATGAAGAGATATTGCTGTCCATAAACTGCATGAAAATCATCCTTGGATAAGAGAGTTCTAGTTCAAGGACTTATTTTTTCCAGTTATGTTACTTTACTGTGACTGCAGGTTGAGGAGACCTTAGTAAGCCATCTTCAACTCTGGAAGCAGCTCAGCTGTAGCAATGCAGTGTGGGCTGCAAAATCCAGCTGAGAAATAAGGTAAATACTTAGGGGCTTCACTTATGCTGAGCTCTAAACCACTACACAGTCAGCAATTCCCAAGTCAGCAATTTTAAAGATAGCTCTGTATCTTTACAGAGTACAACTACTCTACCAAGTTCCATCTAAGATATGGCTTCTGTCGAGGGGATAAAAATGTCCTTAGATATGTGATGTGTTGCCACTAGCCTGTAGCAGGCAAACACAGGACAAGGAGTTGAGACATAAATGAAGAGATATTCTAGCAGCTATTCTGGTCACAGCTAAATGTACTTTGGAGAGATCTTGCTCTTGTCAGTCATGATGTTTTTTTATTTAAAAAATTACTTAATTTGCACTTAAATGCCAGTAACTTGTAAGCAGGGCCATGCAAGATAATAAATCTGTAATTAATGATACCTTTTTCTTATAGCCTCATAATCACAGCAGGGAAACTAACAAAAAATGCTTGTCACTGAATTACTACAACATATCAAACTGTCCCCAAGGTGGCCTATATACTGCAACATTAGGGGATATTTGCTTTCTCAGCCTGACATCCCTCTCCTGTCATTACAGTGAAAATGAACCTGAAAATATGTAGCCAGTGTGTCAGCTCACGTCTGCTTGCATTCTTGTGTTTACTCTATAACACTGTGTCAGCAGTCCCATACAGATATCTAGGAGACAGTTCTTTAGAAACCTGAACTGAAAAATAGCCTGGATGTGATAACATTTTTATCAAAATTAAAATATGAATCTTCTATATAGTTTCCAAAATCATTAAATACTTGGCTGGATAAATAAAGTGATATTTGTCAGGTCATCAGTTTCTGACTGACTTCAGTAACAAATCTTCACAGCACTCATCCTGAATATTTGGACATTTCAATTCTCCAGATTGGGACTAAAAGAGCAAATGCATTTTT